GTGTTCCCAGGGCGCCGTGGGGCTCTGGTCTCGGTGGGTGTTCCCAGGGCGCTGTGGGGCTCTGCTCTCAGTGGGTGTTCCCAGGGCGCTGTAAGGCTCTGGTCTCAGTGGGCGTTCCCAGGGCGCCGCAGGGCTCTGGTCTCAGTGGGCGTTCCCAGGGCGCCGTGGGGCTCTGGTCTCGGTGGGTGTTCCCAGGGCGCCGTGGGGCTCTGGTCTCAGTGGGCGTTCCCAGGGCGCCGTGGGGCTCTGGTCTCGGTGGGTGTTCCCAGGGCGCCGTGGGGCTCTGGTCTCGGTGGGTGTTCCCAGGGCGCTGTAAGGCTCTGGTCTCGGTGGGTGGTCCCAGGGCGCCGTGGGGCTGCTCCCAGCTGCAGTACAGTGACCTCTCCCCTCCTGGCTCCAGGCTTGCTCCTTCTCCTCCTCTCAGAGCCTCTGTTGACACCAGTCCCAGCCGATCTCCGAATCGCCCAGTGGCCCCGGGATGGAGAGTGAGGGTTGACTTACTGCAGCAGATGCTCTCAGTGCAAAAATTTTAGTTTAGCAAGTTCTCATTGCTTCCATGGCTGATAACTTTACAAATATGAGGCTCCACCATTCACCGGCCTTTCCCGAGGATGCTCCAGTGGACCTGCTGTGGCCTGTGACGTTCCCCAGCCAGACTGCAGTGAGTCTGTGCCTGGCTGAGAGTCGGTGCAGCTTTTCCGTGAGAATTCCTGCAACAGCAGGGCCTGAGGAGTGGTGACCCCCATCATGGTGACTGACGGCTCCCACGTGCCAAGCCCCAGGCCAGCTCCTGGCCCTGCACACAGTCCTGCATACACACTGGTGTCCTTGGTCCCCAAAGCTCCTATGGGGTGAGCTCTGCCTGGTCTGCAGCCATGGGGGAGGAAGAGCCATGACTCCCATGCCCAGCTTACCCACAGCAGGTGTTCTGGTGCCAGCCTGGCAGCTCACTCCTCACCTGTCCAGTAAGTGCTGCCTGGGGCAGCCCATTTTTTTTTAGATGGGGTCTCACTATGTTGGTCAGACTGGGCGTCAGTGGCTATTCACAGGCACTATCATGGCTCACTGCAGCCTCGAACTCCTGGGCTCAAGTGATTCTCCCGCCTCAGCCTCCTGAGTAGCTGGGACTATAGGTGCATGCCCTCATGCCCAGTTTAGACCACAGGCACGCACCCCTGCACCCAGCTTAGACCACAAGTGCCGCCCACATGCCCAGCTTGGACCACAGGCGCCCCCCACATGCCCAGCTTAGACCACAGGCGCCCCTAACGCCTGGCTTAGCCCATTTTCATTCCTGCTTGCCATGCACACCCTCCTGGACCCAGCTCAGCTCCGGCAGGGCCATGTGCATCAGCGTCTTCCTCCAGACACAGGGCCAGCCTGTGCCACCTTCTCCTGTCCTCGGGCCTGGGCTGGGCCTGCAGGCCTCTTACCTCCGCCCTCCATCCTCTCAGCTTCAGAAGGACAGCAGCTTTCCAGGTTTCAACCTGTGGGTTGAGTCACTGGTTCTCACCCGGGGCTGTGTTGTTCCCACTGGCGATGTCTGCAGACATCTCTGGATGCCACAATGGCAGGGGTGCTCCTGCCACCCAGTGGCGGATGCTGCCCCCATCCCACCCTCACCAGCAAAGCACTGTCTGCCAAACAGCCCTGGACAAGGGGATATTTGGTCAGGTCCACCCCAGCGAGAGGACCAGGGAGGCAGCCACGCAGCCAAAGGAGGGAGGGGCCCCATCAGGCCACACTTGTCTGTTTCCCACAATTCGAGAAATGTCATCAAGTCTTTTTTCTTTAAATACTGCCATTCGCACCTGCTAATCCAAATAAAAGGTGCCATTAGCTGTCCTGTTCTACAGAAAATGTTTCTCAAGATTAAACCCTCAGACCGGACCAAGGTGTAAAATATTTCCTTAAACAGAGGCAGGGAACATGCAGCTCCGATCCACATGAGGCCCTCAGGGCACTGCTGGCCCGTCTGTTGGTCAGCTCTTGGCTGCAGGCCTGGCTGTGCGTTTGTAGTTGTGACCTCGCCAACCTCACCGCACCCACCAGGTGGGCTGTTACTACCCCCACAAGGGCCAGGAGGACACTGAGGCTTGGAGAGGCCGGGCGACCCAGGCGCACATGGCTGGGGGCACGGGGAGGGATGGCTTATGAGCTGGGGGGTGAGCAAGGCTGCCCTCGCTCAGGCGTGGGACTGTGTGGCTGTGGTGTCTGTCCACAGAGCTCCAGAGCCGGGGGCAGGTTCAGTGTCATCCCTGCCCACTTACCTTGGACACGGCAGCCAGCCTCTGCTCCACACTGGCACCCAGGCTGGTGGTGGTCCTGTCCTGGCACCGGAGCCGGTGCTGTAGCTGCAGCAGGGCCGCCAGCTGTGAGCTGCTGGTGTTGGCCGTGGCTGCAAGCAGGACATCCCTCATTGTCTCCGAGGCCGAGCAGCTCTGAAAGGGAGCAGGGGAGGTATGACAGGGGCCCAAGGCCTGGGCGGGGAGGCCTTGCACCCTGCGAAGGGCATGCAGTGGCTGCAGCCTGGGAGCAGGAATGGGCTCCCCCGGGATGCTGGCTCCTCCTAGCACCTGGAGAGTTGCGTGAGGCCACGCTTGTTCCCTCTGTGGGACCTCTGTGAGGTCCGCACAGACAGGGCCCTGCTGGCCTGTGACTGCCAGGTCTCCATGTCTGCCTGATGCAGGGGTTCGGGGATAAGCACACGAATGCGTGTTCTCTCTGAGCCACAAGTTTACGTGGTCGGCAGACTCCCACTGTTTGAGGACCCCGGCCTGTGGCCTGTTTCTCTAACGGCGTCCCCCCAAGGTGAGGGCCCCAGCTGAAGCCCAGGGTCCTCCCTCCTCTGTGAAGGCCTGGCTGGAGGTGCGTGGGGCAAAGACACACCTGAGACAGAGCCAGGAACTGGCAGGTAGTTGCAGCGTCCAGGGTGCCGACGCATTCCACCATCTCCAGGCTGGCGGCTGCTGCGACATCCAGGAGGCCACTGCCAAGGGCCACCTGTAGGCACTGCAGCAGCACCTCTGATGCCTGAGCCAGGTACTGCTGGGCCAGAACCATCCTCCCCTGTGGGGCACAAGGCTCGGGCTCAGGCCGGGCTCCGGGCAGAGGCCACACGAGGCTTGGGAGGGGCAGCCGCACCTTCAGGTCCTCGCCTCTCCTGCCGTGCTCCTCTGGGGCCGCCCTGGAGGCCAGCGGGTCCCTGCTGGACTTTGTGGCACCCTCTTCCTCGACCTCCAGCTCCAGAGACTTGAGGCCGCTCAGCTTGGCGCCCACCTGTGAGACACACAGCAGGTTGGCTGGCACTTCTGCGTTCCTGCTTGGCCAGCGTGGGGAGGGCCCACCCAGGGAGGCTGGGGGGGTCGGGGAGGGCCCACCCAGGGAGGCTGGGGGGGTCGGGCTCCTCAGCAGGGTCCCTGGGTGGCGGGCACTGCAGGCTGCAGCGTGGCCTCTCACTGTCCCAAACCCTCCACCCCTGAGTTGATGCAGGGTGGCCCTGTACCGCGAGCCTGGGTGAGGGGACGTTGCAGCCAGGGTGAGAACGCAGCCCCCCCAAGGAAGCCGGCCTGAGTCACATGGGCCTGGAATCCAACACATTCCCAGGGGACTCCCGTTCCTGTCCTTTGGAAACACCTTTCCTGGAACCAGCCGGCACCGAGGCCGAGACATCCACCAGCCCTCAGGGGCCCCCGGTCTGGCCAGGACACAAGCCCCAACCTGGGGATAGGAAGCCCAGGCAGCCCCTGAAGAACTGGGTTGAGAGGGAGCCCCTGGGTTTTCAGGTCACGAGGTATCGCAGTGCCAAATCTGTGTATGCACCCATTGATTAGGCGTCAAAACAAAGAAAACATTGATAGAAATGGAGTGATGGAGAAGCCCCCGGTTCTAGTAGGCTGCCCAAATGCAGGTGAAAACCAGCAAGCACGCTGGAGGCAGTGCAGCCGTGACCACCTGACCCGCACACGGCCTGGCCCCTTTCACATCGGAACACGTCGTTCAGGCATGTGCAGGACGTTTACCAAAACCAACCAGGCTGGGCCACGTGCAGCCACTGCAGAGTCCCCAGGACCGAGACCACTCAGGGTGTGTTTTCAACAACAACATTCAACTGGACGTCAGTCGTGAAAACAGACCCGTGAGAAACACAGTCACCTTGAAATTAAACAAGATACAATCATCAAGTCAGTCAAAGAAGAAATTGCAATGGAATTTATAAAATGGACTTAGAGAATGAAAACGCTGAAGGAGGAGAAAAGGAAAAGTCAGTGAGGCTGACAGCCAAGGCTGGTCCTTCGAGAAACAGCCTGAAATGTCACCGCCACAGGCACAGAGGGCCGCCGGGGAAAACCAAACTGCAGCGCACCGGTGAGCAGGAGGGGCCCAGCGGAGAAGCCTCCATTCTCAGGTCGTCAGCCGGCTCCAGGAAATGTTTCCTCCCCTTTCCAGACATGAACACGGTGGGCTCCGAGGGAGCCTGCGTGGGTTGTGGGAGGGGTGGGGGCTTATCCAACGCACCCACAGCTGCACAAACAAGAAAGGCTGCGCTTTGTGCTCCTTAAGGACACGCCCGCAGCGGCACAGATAAGGAAGCCACGAGAACAGCAAAAGAGACGAGCACACTTTCTCATCAGAGCGTTCGGATTCAACTGTGAAGACGGCCACCCACTGGGGCCCTCTCCGCTGCAGAGCTTTCTTCCTTCACTTGCTAAACTTTTGCTGCAACCTCCCCGTGTCCACGCCCCTTAATTTTCTGGGTTCTGAGACAATGAACAACGAGCTCAGATAACACCTTAGACAATGCGACCAGCAACCCTAGACCGTGTCAATCCTACGTATCAAAATCTGGGAGACTGAAATGGGGGTTAGAGGAAAAATACAGCCTTGAACACAAGAAAAAAGCCAGAAAAACCTTGATTTAAGCTTTGATTTCAAGACGCTGGACAACAACATAAATCACATCTAAGGACAGCAAAAGGCAGGTACGTCCGGGCCTGGCCTGCATGGGGCGGGGGCCGCGGAAGACCCCTGTGTGCTCCACACGGGACTTGACGTCTGCTCTGCCCGGGCCCCTCCTCGCTGGGGAACCATCAGCAGCGTTCACAGATGAGGACGCCAGCGCCCAGGAGGCCATGCCAACCCTCGCTTTGGTCCACGCCCAGCTGCTACCCGAGCACATCAATGGAGGCTGGTTGCACCGAGAGCCACAACTCCATCCATTCACTTGAGGTACGTCAAGTCCTGTGCTCGGTCCTGAAGACGCAGGACAGACAGCATCTCAGGGCTGATCCAGGGCTGCACAGCACCTGGTGGGGGAATGGCCCTGGGCGTGCAGCCAGGCACACACAGCGTGGTTGCTCTGGTCCCTGAGGGCGTCTTCCTGAGGAGCCGGTGTGTGGGGACAAGCCCAGGTTCTCCGCTGCGGCAGGTGCCTTCCAGGGGAGGAACTGGCATCTGCACAAGTGTTTAGGAAGGTGACTTGAGGCTTTCAGGGCTTACTGGGGCCGTCACCAGGGTCGTGAGGCAGTAAGTCACTCCTGCAGCTGACTCGGCCCTGCCGGGCAGCCTTGCAGCCTTCTGGAGAAGGGTGGGCCCTGGGCTGAGGGTGAAGAAGGTCCCAACTGCCCTTCTCAGAGCCACCTGGGCGCTGAGGCAGCAGCCTCCCTGGGCTGCAGGGGGTAGGGGATGGAGGGGAGTCAAGGCTGCCCAGGGCTTCCCCTGCTGTGCTCTGGCACGGGTGCCACGGTGCCCGGTGCTCAGGCCCACCCTAGGCTGCTCCTGCAGCTTCTGAGCTCCCCAGGTCCCTGCTCCAGGCCCGGCCAGAGCCGCTGCTGCGGGAAACACCAGTTGCATTGTTCCGTGTTCGCCAGTGCAAGGCTGGATTGGGGCAGGCTGTGTGCTGGGGTGGGCTCCATGCTGGTGCGGGTCGACCCACATGCCCGCCTGCCCTCCCTGCCTGTCTGCCGTCCCTGCCTACTCCACAGATGCTGTGGTTCCCTCCCAGGTCTGTTCCGGAAGGCCTGTGTTTCACCAGCCCGATTTCTTCCCTCACACCTGCTTCCTACATTTTTCTCTCTTCCTGGGGCCATGCCCTTCTGCACGGAGGATGACACAATTCGTCTGCTATAATCAGGGGAGTCCTAAACACTTTGCCTGTGTTTTTAGGCACGGGTGACAGGTGTCGGAGCGACTTGGGATAGAAGCAGGAGCACTTACCGAGGGGCCCTCCTCCCAGTAGCAGGCAGGCCGCACAGGGTCGGCTTGCATGGCCAGCAGGTGGAGGGCCCTCCCGGCCAGGCCCAGGAGCCGGGCGCGGATCTGCACACAGCCCACACTCAGCGGCTGCAGGCTCCCCAGCTGCGCCAGTGCCTCGTGTGCCAGAGTCCGCTTCAGCGTGAACCATTGCTTCGAAAAGACAGACATGTTACAGCTGCCACCCCAAGGGCGGCCGCCCCCCCTGCCCAGGGGACCCAGTGAGCCTGCCCCTCGTGTCCTCTGTGGGTGGGGACACTGGGAGCTCTGAGAAACACCCCCGCCCGCAGGGTGCTGCCCGCGCAGGGAGGGTCTCGGGGCTCTGGTGTGGGGTCACAGACGTCTGCTCATATAACCTTAATTCAGCGCTCACTGACAAATCAATTTTAGGCCCGTCTTTGGTTCATTTATACTTATGTAAATTAATTTGAGTCATATTTCATGACGTCTAAGAAAATGTAAAATGGAAGAATGTACATTTCCCTCAAAACATTCTACGTATTCAACTGTTTTGAATATGTCATCAGCTGGACTCCATTCAACCAAAACGGAGTCCACCTCTATTGACTCTTTAATCCACATATGAATTCATTGTTAATATGAATTAATTAGTCAAAGCCAATTCATGAGTCAGGAAGGGCAGCTGCGAGTCATGTAGGAAACGCCGCCGCAATGGAACCTGCATTTTATGAGCCAATTCAGTCCCCTCAAAGGGCGAGACAACGCCCTTCTTCTGCAAGGCCCGGGAGCCCCCCTGCTGCAAGAGGTCCCCGCAGGGAGGGCGCTCAGATTCCCCCAGCCGATCCGCACCGCCAGGCGTGCGGTGATGGAGACGCCTCCTGCTGGAACGGGGCCCCTCAGCTGCACTGTGGCCTGGTGCTCCCTCCACAGGGAATCTGCGACCCCAGCAATTACCAGCCCGATGGAAGTGCAGTCACTGGTGTTCTGCAGATAGTCCGCCAGCAGCTTCTCCAGGGACCCCTGCCCACTCTGCTGCCCGCGGGCCTCCTCCCAGATGAACTGGAGCATGTCCAGAGCCATCTCCACGAGGCTGAGCTTGAGGCGCGCCAGCTTCCTCATTAGCGGCGTGTTGATGTTCTGCAACTGAAGGGCCAGGCGTGCATCTGAAGCACGGAAGCTTCTGGTAAGCCTGACTCTACATCCCCACAGCTTGGACGAGGCATAACTGACATAAGAAACTCAAAATAAACTGCACAGCTCTACAGTGAAAAACTGACACACTTGGATCACGAATACACCCATGAAACCATCACCGCCTTTGAGATCATGCAGTAGCCCTCACCCCCAAATCTCTTCGTGCCCTGTCGTGTCCCTCCCAGTCACCTAGCTGCCTGCTGGCACCCTGCATTCATCTGCATTTTCCAGAACTGTACCTACGCGGAAGCGCACAGCGTGCAGTCTTCTATATGGTTCACTTCCCTCAGCGAAGTCACCGTGAGATCCCCCACGCAGCTGCACGCACGCTGCGTCCCTCACAGCCGGTGTCAGTGCACCATGCGGATGGGCCACACTCTGCTTATCTATTCAAATATTGTATTTCCAGTTCTGGGGCTACGACGAGTAAAGCTGCTGCGAAAACCCATGTGCAAGTGAACACACGGGAGTGGAAAGGCTGGGTCCTGGGTGGGCCTGTGTGTAATTCTTAGGAAACAGCCCAACTGCCCTCTGCAGCAGCTGTGCCACTGGCGCTTAGGGCCCAGGTCTCTCCACACATCTGCTGTGGTTGATCTTTTACATTGTAGCTGTTTTAATAGGTGGGTGGTGGTTTCTTACGATGGTTACAATTTGCGCGTCCCTAGCTGGCTAATGATATTATCTTTGCATGTGCTTATTTACCATCCACATATTTGCTTTGGGGGAGTGTCAGTTAAAATATTTTGCTCATGTTTTACTGGGTTGCTGTTAACTTTGGAGAGTTCTTTATCCATTCTGGATACAATATCTTTATCAGACAGAGGATTTGTAAATGTTTCCTCCCTGTCCGTGGCTTCTTTTCCTTCTCTTCATACTGTCTTTTGAAGAGAGGTCCAAGCTATCACTTTATTACTTTATGGCTCATACTTTAGGTGTCATAAATAAGAAATCTTTGCCAAACCTGAGGTCACACATCTATTTTCCTATGTGTTCTTCTAGAAGCTTCATGGGTTTAGCCCTTATATTTAGGTCTACAATCTATTTGGAGTTAATTTTTACATATGGTGTGAGGCATGAAGTAGGTGGGCTGTTTTGGACGTGGATGATCCTTCCTTTGGCGAGCCGCCTTTGTGTCTTTGGTGAAGGTCACCTTCCTGTGCGTGTGGGGTCCCCGCCTGGATTCGCTGTGTTCCGCATGTCGACTTTTACACGAGAGCCACACCGTCTGGATTCCCGCTCCTCTCTGTACTAGGCCTTAAAATCAGGCGGCGTCAGACCTTCCAATTTCGTTCTTCTTTTTCAAAGCTGTGTTGGCCATGTTAGGTCTTTTGTACTCTCATATGAGTTTTAAAGTCATTTTGTCATTTTCTCCAAAAAAAAGCCTGCAGTGATCTTGATCAGGGGTATAGACGATTTAGGGCGAATCAAGAACTTAACAACACTAAGTCCTCTGATCCACAAACATGGTATGTTTCTTCATCTACTTAGGTATTCCCAGCTATTTCTCACTTATATTTGTAGTTCTCAGAGTACAAGTCTTTACATTTTTGGGACAAATTTCATTTTTAAATGCTGTCATAAAATTGTTTTAAAATTTTTAATATCTGAGTGTTTCCAGCATGTAGAAATACACAACTGATATCTGCACATTGTTCTTATATCCTGCAACCTTACTAAACTCAGTATTAGTAGCTTTATTTTTCGGTGGATTGCATATGACTGTGTATACAGACAATTTTGTTATATGTGAACAAAAACAGTTTCCTTCCTTCCTTTCCAATCTGGATGCTTTCAATTTCCTTTTTTCCTGCCTGACTGCATAGGCCGGAACTCCCACGTCAACACGGAACACGGGTGAGAAGAGGGCACCTCCTCGTCTTCGTCCTTATCGAAAGGAGCATCGGTCTTTCTCCCATAACTGTGACGTTAGCTCTGGCTTTTTCACAGATGTCCTTTATCAGACTGAGGAAGTTTTCCTCTATTGTTTGCTAGGAGGGTTTACCAGGAATGGGTGTTGAATTTTGTCAAACGCTTTTTCTGCATCCACAAAGATGATCATATGGTTTTGTTAGTTTTGAAAATAAATGGTGAAGCAAGTTAATTTTTGAATGTGAAACTATTCTTGGGGTAACCTTGGCTTGGTTATGATGTATTATCCTTTTTAAATACTGTTGGATTTAATTTGCTAACATTTTGTTCACAAGGAATGCTGGTCAGTAGCTTTTTGTTGTTGTTGTTAATATCTTTATCTTGTTTTGGTATCAAGGTAATATTTGCATCATAGAAAAACTGGGACGTATTCTCTCCTCAATTTTCTAGAACAATTTGTGTAGAACTGGTATTATTTTTTCTTAGATACTTGGCAGAATTCACTAGTCAAGCCATCTGGGCTTGACATTTTCTTTGTGAGAATGCTTTTAATTACAAATTAAAAATTTAAAATATATAGGGCTACTCAGGCTTTCTTTTTGAGTGGGCTTTGGTAGTTCATGCTTTCAAGGAATTTTTCCATTTCATCTAAGTTGGCAAATATATTAGCATAAAGTTGTTTGTAATATGATCCCCTTATTATCCTTTCAATATCTGTAGAATCCACGGAGAAATTGCGTCTCTCATTCCTGATATTGGCAATTTATGTCATCTTTTTTTTTCTGATCCGTCCGACTAGAAGTTTTTCAATTTACCGATCTTTTCAAAGAACTAGCTTTGGTTTCATTACTTTCCTCTTTTATTTTTCTGTTTTCTATTTCACTGATTGATTGCCACTCTGATCTTTACTTTTTATTCCTCTGCTTATTTGGGAACTGAGTTTGCTCTCTTCATACTTTTGTAAGTTGCAGGCTGAAGTAATTGAT